CAGCTCGTGTCAACCAACATGACTAATTTCTCCGCGCCATCTTTTTCTTCCTGAAACTCGCCACTTCTTCTCCGTCAGTCCGCTACTCGTCAACCGGCATGCAAACTGACAAAGACATAGAGATGCAGGTGGGTCTCATTATGTTCTGATGATTCAGCACATCCCATATCGTAAGTATCCAGCCGAGTTTGAGGCTATCGAGAATCAGTGAAGATCATGATAAGTCAGTCTTTCCTTCCGAAGAAAAACATGCGGTCGTTGAGGCTAGAGGCTTCTTAGGCTGATGTCCTGGATTCGCACTCGAACCCATCATCACGGACAGTCGCAGATAAGAATCATGTAATCATAAGAAGCACATTATTTATAAGACACAGCGGCCACGTAGCCGAATACCCACTATAATTGACTACTTTCATTTTCATTGCTGAGGATCGAATGTCTTTTGATTACTACCTGCTAGGCCGCATCTGACTCGCTATTTGTCGAAGCATTATCGTGGTGGTCGAGTCTTGAAGTGGACGTAACTCGGTGATTAAGTTTCTGTCACTGGGACCGTCGGTTGCCAGCACCTTCACGGAGGACTGACCAGTCCGCCCATCAACTCCCCCCCCGTCCCAGCGGTCGCATTCTCATCTTCTACTGAACCGCTTTCCGACACTCGCCTCCTCGCTTTTATCAGTCCTTCCTCTGTCAGGTAGTAGAACAGTTGTAGCCGATTTCACTGTGATTACGGCACTTGTACCTCATGCGTTAACATATGTTGTCGTCCACAACAGAGCCCTAGCTGTAGGAGGCGCATCTGCCCCTATCAAAACGACGGATAGGCTAGGCTTGCCTGGATAGTGGACTATTTATGCAATACGATAACCTTGCAGAGTTTAACCATAGTGTGCAAATCAGGCAACGAGGGATCGATTTCCGAACTGGCAGACTCCAAAAAATAATCAATAAAAAAGTTTCACATTTGTATGCATTTATCAGACAGCATTTGTCTGTAGATTGACTTGGACCGATTTTTTTCAACGTCGCAATGCACTTGCACAGTAGTTGATAAGCAGGCGTTTAGTCTTTTTCAAGAAGATATGCCGGCTTGAGCATTAGTCAGAATATTACTACCGACAAAGACAGGGGAGACTGGAATGGCCATTTCTGGCTTATTAGCCGTCGTCAGCCAGTCATTCCCGACCCCCCGAAATGTGGAACACCCGAGGGTGGAACTCGCGACCTCTTAGTTAGAAGTCCACGCCTCTAACTACTGGGCCACGAGCCTGTTGCCCTGTGGGTTTTCGATCGGGAATATACAATGGTAGGGGGCGCTCGCGGATCGTTCTTATGGAACTCACTCGTTTCGTTGTTGCCTCGAGCCTCGGGTGTTCCAGACTTCGGGGTTGGTTACGACTGGCTGACAACGACTAATAAGTCAGAAATGGCCATTTCAGTCTCCCTTGTCTCCGTCGGTAATATCATCCTGCCTATCTCATGCGCCGCTGTGCGGCTGCTGGTTGGGCTCGAGAGAGAGCCCGTAGGGCACAACGGAACAAGTGAGTTCCGTAAAAATAGTCGGTGAGCGTCCCTTACTATTTAGTAAGAATATTTTTGTTCAGGGTGATTTTACGTGAAAACAGAAAAATGCTTCTTCTTTCAGCATTCTCAATGAGATCGATCAAGTGCTCAAAACATCCAACTCAACTTTGCCATTCTCAATAATTTTTGATATGGCATTTGTCCTGTTACTGCAAGGCCCGAACATAAATATTGCGTTTTTGAATGCTCAGTGCTCGTGTCAGACCATCGAACGCCTCCGAACCAAGTAAACAAACACCCAAATGCGTCATCGCAGCCTACGCCTCCGTAAATGCGATCAGTGACGATACTAGCGGGCCTCTGCCCCGCTATATAAACGCCAGCGAGCATTGTTCGCGCATAGCGCAGCATGCAGTCTCCGGTAGCACTTTTATGTCTCCTTGGACTTACTGTTTTAGCGGCTTCCCTTCAGCCGCAAAACCCAGCACACCTCGATCAGCTGGTGGACGAAGTGAACACCGCGACGGTGGACGAGGAGGAGGAATCCCAGCTGCACGGAGACGAGGTCCTGACACCAGCGCGTATTTCGCTGAGGCCACTAGGACGCTTCGCCGGTCGCGCCATTAGAGCCGGTGCGCGAGCGGTCGGACGGGTAGCAAGGAAGGTCTGGTCGGGTGCCAAGAGGGTCGGCAGAGCCGTGTGGCGCCAAGTCAGCATCCCCCTGCAGTGGCCCAAGAAAAAGGACAAGAAGAAGAGATAAACGTCCGCTGCTGCAGTGCTCCGTTAAAATTGTTGTTTATTTTCTAAATGAAAATTTTATGAAATTATGTCAGCTGACACGAAGTTTCAACGTTGAGCCTTGTGCTTTCTGCGGGCGAAAGGCCGCATGACATGAAACGAGGGTTTGTACGGCACTGTTGCGACTATTATCACGTGGTGAACTTCGGGTAAACGGGTGCAGAATTTAAGGCATGATGTATGATAGTTACTCCACAATAATTTCTGTTTTTCATAAATGACTACAGATTTCGCGTTCTCGTGGTATACCTGCATATTAGAACGCAGTAAACCTCCATTTTTGCAGCAATCGAACAGTCGATGGGGGATATTTTCATCTCTCAGCCAGTTTTATAATATGTTAACGTATTCAAATAGGTAAAAACTGGACTATTTGCCTTATTCGTCAGGTATGTAAAGAACGTTTATTTGGACACATATCTGTTAGGTTGGACTCAGCAATTTGGAAGAGTTCGGCTCGAAGGTAAACCTCCTATATTACAGTGTAATAAAATATCAGGAGTCGGAAGAACCGATTATTCAAAATTCCTTCCATGCATTGGGGAACTGCACACAGTCTTGAGACTGTGATTGCATGAACTTACACCGCCGACTTTACTTCGCATTCAGCGGGTACACCCTAAAGATTGAGTTGGTTATCTGAATAAAAAAGAGGCCGTTTACAAGGCTGCGAGTGCTGACTGCGACGTCATATATTGATGCAAACTGGAAAGCCTGCTTCTGTCTGCTTCCACGAGTATCAACTGGCAGTTAAGGCGCGAGACCATCTGTCGCACGTGTCCATGAATGTCCTAAAACGCAGGCAAACCTTTACTATGGATAATATACCAAAAGGAAATTTGGAGACGTTAGTCGATCGATACAAAATGGCGCACACGGCAGTCTACGTCCGCAGATAAGTATTGATTTTCTGAACATGTTCAGTGTCATCAAATGTCAGGAGTCGGGTCCTATACACACTCCGGTGACTGTGATTGCATGAACCTACATCGGGAATAACAATTCAAAAACGTTCTTCGCGCCCCTGGTTGGTAATATCCCCTAACTAATATCTACTATTGACGACACAGTAGGCAGGTTATTTAACCATAAATGCACTGCCTCAGACTAGCCCACGTTTGCCAGTCCTCAGAGGACAGAATCCTACCTAGCATGTGTAAATGAAACGGCTAAGAACCAACCTATTTTAAGTGCCTGTTAAAAAAGTCATGTCCACTTTAACGGCCAACTTCGGTCACCCCACCCTGCGGTTCGTTCTGTCAATGCATATTCACAAAAGGCCACGTTCAATTCTGCCATGCTTCATCAGTTTCTGAATCGGCTTTAATTCCATGACCCAAATTTCTCAGATTCCGCTAGGAGTATTGGGACGTTCGACAAGGGAGGAAAATAGAAATAGACAGAATGCATTACCAACAATCACAGGATAGACTAAAATAGTCATTTATGGTTTGTTAGCCGTCACTAGCCAGCCATTTGCAACCCCAAGGTAGTCATCCCACAAGACTCCAACTCGTAACCTCTTGGCCAGAAGTACAACGTCCTAACCACTGAGCCACGGGTTCTTTGATCTATAGATGGCGGTCGGGTATTTGGGGAAATTATATAATAAAGAGGCAATGTTGCGACAAATTACTCGGATGAACTGATGCCCATCTGTGTTGTATGCTTTAATTCACAAGCGCACCGGCCGATAATTCGCAACAAGATTCAACGAAGCACTTTCGTAGAACTCCACTGAAACTAGATAGTATACGAATGCAGCGATAACTCAGAACAGTCAGTAAAATACGCTAGATGTATTGTTTAATGTGCTGTTGACCGAAATCCTGAAATATGTTTTCGGTTGTCGTACAAAATCGTTAAGGACAGAGTGACATCCCTGATGTCAATTTATATTCTTTTGTTTCCCCTTGCTACTAACCGTTTGTTAGTAAACAGACTTTAATCATGCTACCCTGTCCTTGTCTCTGTATCCCTGTTCATTGTTCTTTGTCCATTGTCTATTGCTTTTTGTCGCCGCTCGCTTGTTAACCGACCACCACATTTTGGCGTCATTCGCTGGCTGCTCGTCTGATAACCTCGAATGTACATCCACTTTTCAGTTTATTCCCCGCCTTATTAACTCTGTCGTGCTCCGCTAATCTTACTGTTTATTGCTATAGAACCACAAAGGATAACCGAGTTATCCCGACTGTCTTCTGACATAGCTTTGACCTCGGATGCGTCTATTCCGGCGAAAAAACAGCACTTAATCGAGAAAATCCAAAGAATACTAGCACCCTATATGCCCTGGGACACTCAGCCGCTGTTACTAGGTCATGGACCCAGATTAGCCAGAGTCTGAGAATAAAGTGACCCAGGCTCAGGTATGAAGCACGCGCCCTGTTTTTTTCCGTTGATGGCTTCTAGCTGCTAACAATGGAACAATGGTCAGCCGATTCTCCGTTTCTTAGTGAACAAAACGACTCAATCCCCGATTTGAGATGGCGGCCCGTTCTGCCAATGGAGTTTAAAGTTTTATTTTGAAGAAGCCTTAGTCACAATGTATTAAAGAAGTTGGCATATGATGCATACGTGGAAGACGTAACCGTTCCTCTTACGAACGTGCACAGTTGACTGTACCCTTAATGAACGGGGATCGGAAGCGCATTTTATGTTCTGGCACTACCAAGAGGCGCACGCATTCGCGATGCGTGCATTTAACTCTTGTGTTCGTTTTCAGCTGCTCACCGCATAACAGTTGTCTGAAAGCAATATCGGTTCTGTAAAGCAGTAATTATTTCAAAAGCTACTATAACTTAAATCAACATCAGTTGGCACTATTATCCCTCACATGTGTTCACTTTGGCAGAACTTTATGACGTTTCTGATGCAAAAAATTCGGGTAGCTGAAATTAGAGTACATCGGTACCTTGGAATTATCCAACAAGTTGCTGCTCAAGAAACGAACATTGATGCAACCAGGACTGCTAATCTGAGACTTTTAACTAAAAGTGTCAGATCCTCGGTTGACTTCGCCTTCCTGACTGCAAAATATTCCAGTACAACATGCTTTTATTAAAACGACGCGGTACATATGGTATGCGCGTCAAGAGGGAGGAGGCAACCAGTGATACAGCACCCCCGCCTGCTTCAATCGTGACCTCATTCTGAACCACTTTCATCCCGTTTGCTGCCGAGCTCGCCGCAAATGCTGATAGAGCGAATAAACTGGAAAAACTAGCCGATAGCTGCGACGGCCAATTCCGGAATGCCAGGTTGACCGCTCGAAATGCAGACCCGAAGTTTTAGATGGCAAATCAAACCGCGCAGACAGAATGTGACCCTAATTATGACGCCTCTGATATCTTGGAGTGAGGAGAAGACCACACTTAAAAACCAGTGTAAGAAGATCGAGTGCCATCCGACTGCTCAGCCAACCGTCAAGTGATCCTGTCTTTGCACAACCTGAACTTCCGACCGTGCCGCATATGAGGCAGTCATGACAAAATGCTGTCAGGATCGCGCCCTACATTACAAAAAGGCATCGGTCCATGGCGTTGGACGGCACTTAGGGCGCGCGCATAATCGGCCTCAGTGAGACCGCGCTGGAGTTAGGACCTCGCCTCTGTGTAGCTGCGTCTCCTCCTCCTTTGTGGGGTGCTTTTCATCCACCAATTGACCGAAGTGCAGTGAGTCTTGCGGTTGGAGAGACGCGAATAAGAAGAAGAGTCGAGCACCGGAACACTGTGTTTATTGTCCTGAGCTTTCAAACTCGTAAAGGAGTCCATCGTCAGAGGTAGCGGCAGCAGCAGAACAAGCGACGGTTGTAGGACATGCAGGCCAATCATCGACCGACGTCGCAAGACTGGAGGTGACTATTCAGGATTCCATAACTCTTCTAGTGGTTAGAAGCAACCGCTTAGTAGAATTCGCGATGTTACTGGGGTTGACTCATGACCTATCTCTGTCGTGACAACGTCACCTTCATTTTTATTTTTCTATGTCATTACTTTTTCTACTGCCGGCCGGATTTTGTGTTTAATCTTACCCGGACAGTGGCTGTAAACTTGCATCAAATACAATTATTATGATCACCATCATTATCATTATGTGAATAATCATCAGATGCTGTTTGATACTTAATCTCTATGATCGTATAATTATGTCGATTTGAAAATTTCCCTGTCGTGGCTTATGGTGAATACCAATATATTTGATTCTCGTCAGTAATGAAGTGCGCACAGAAAAGTTCTCACCCTCCTCTTCCATCTTCCGCAAAAAAAACAAAAGTAACCACAGCCAATTAAAAGTCACACCATATGAAACATATCCTTTTAATTGGAAGCTAACGCCTATAACTTTCATATGCAAAGGCAGTAGCAGGGCGTCGACGAAAAATTATAGGTTCATAAGCTTAACCTGCACTTTGAGCAAAGTGATGGAGAGAATTGAAGAGAGCGAATTGGTGCAGTTCGAGGAAATTCACGAATTACTACCGAACTGCTAACACGGATTCCGGAAAGAAAGTTCCTTTACGACAAACTTCCTGCAATTTCCCCAGAGCTGGACACGGAGTCTCAACGGCAAATACGCAGTTCATATCGCTTTCATTGACTTCCAGAGGGGGTTCGACACTGTGTCACACCAGAGACTGTTAAATAATCCGGAAAAGATAAGGGTCAGAGGTGATTTTCTCAAGTCGGTAAAAAGCTTCTTTCTGGATCGGCACCGGGTCGTGCGCATCGGTCAGGGGCAATCATATCCTGATGTGAGCGAGAGTGGTGTCCCCCAGAGTTCAGTACTATAGCTCTTATAAGTACTATGGGTCTTATAAGACCCATTTTGTTCCAAATATATGTGGCGAAGACTTCTCAAAGATTTTTGGCAAATGTGTGCGGCAACATTAGAAATACGACATACCAACCTGGAGACCATGGACGGTTCAAGATTAAAATAGTCTTGAAAGAGTCCAAAGGA